TTTGGTTTTTTTTTTTTTTTTGCTTTTAAGAATAGCATTGTATGGGAGAGAGTTGGGCATATACAGCCTCCCTCCCAGGGTCCCCCTTCTTCTGAGGTGGGCCAGTAGAAACCACTGAGGTTTGGGAAGCTGGTAAAGGGGCTCAGGGAGCCCCTGGGTCTCATGTGTCCGAAGCTCTCGCCCGCCAGCCCTGATTAGGGCCTCACTCCCTAGCCCCAACCCTTCACACACCAGCCTTGATTGGGGCCTCAGTCCCTAACCCCAACCCTTCACACACCAGCCCTGATTGGGGCCTCAGTCCTAACCCCAACCCACATCCTCAAACTCCCCACACATTGACTTGCCCCTCTCTCTATACTGGAAATCCTGGTTGTGTAGTGGTTAAGAGCTATGGCTGCTAACCAAAAGGTCGGCTGTTTGAATCCACCAGGCGCTCTATGGAAGCCCTATGGGGCAGTTCTACTCAGTTGTTCAGGGTTGCTATGAGTCGGAATTGGCTCGACAGCAACAGGTTTGGTTTTTTCTCTCTATACCAGTTGTGGTCAAGTTGGTTCCGACTCATGGCACCCCATGTATATTAAAGTAGAACCATGGTCCATAGGGTTATCAATGGCTGATTTTTTGGGAAGTAGATTGCCAGGCCTTTCTTCTAAGGTAACTCTGGGTGGACTTGAACCTCCAATCTTTTGGTTAGCAGCTGAGTGTGTTAACTGTTGGCATCACTCAGGGACTCCTCTCTCTATAACTAACTCTAACCCTTCCTTGCCAGACCTCACATTCTCCCACCAGGGAGAAGCACTCCCATGACATACCTTTACCACCTCTGTGCACCCAGCCCAACGCACCTACGCATGGCTTCACCTGATAGCCCTCCAACCCCAAACCTTCACTGAAATCCAGGTGGAAAGACAGAGCTGCAGCAACTTGTTGGCTTCTTTGTGTTTGTCTCCATGGTGTCTCTGTTGTTCTCTCCCAGACTTAACAGGAAGTTGTCTGTCCCATGGCCGGTCATGACTTCTGCTCCCATACCCTTGCCTCAGAGATTCTGTCTGCAGGGCAAGTCCCTGGGCTGCTGCCCTCCTTCCTGAGTGTTGGAGGGGTGAGCCTGGGTCTCCATGGGGACTTGGGAGAGGGGACTGAGGAGCCTACTGATGGTGTGGGGAGTCTGGAAAGGGTCAAGTAGCAGTCCCAGAGCCCTGTAAGGAGAGATGAGGAACTTGGGTCTGAACCCAGAGAAGCTGGGGAAGAGTTTGGGTAGGGGGCCCAGGCAGGTGAGGGCAGGGACGACAAGGGCTGTGTGGAGCTACTGCAAAGTTACTTTGGAGGAAGAGTAGGTGGGCCAAAGCCTCTGCCCGACATTCCCCAAAATGTTCTGGGGTTGGGCTGTACCTCATCTCAGAAGCAGTCTCTGGGCTTCTCTGGATCCTTGCTCTGACTCTTCCCTACTCCTCTTGTCCCTGCCCATTTCTTTCTAGGGTTCTATCTTTTATTATTTTCTGTTTCTGTCCTACAACAGGAGCAAATACACTCAGACAGGGGGTGTGCCCAAGAGGGACCACTCTCCTCTTAGAGCTAGGGATTGCTCAAGGAACGGCACAGGGGCCCTTTTGGAAATCCATGTTTCCTGACCCTTCTGCCTCTTGCTGAACTCCAGATGGGCCATTTGGATGCCACATGGGTTTCTGTCTGTCTCTGTCCCAGTCTCTGACCCTTTACAAATCACTCTCTCCCTATCTCCTTCTTTGTCTCTCCCTAGGGGCACAGAGGGAACCCCCCATAGTCTCTTGGATCTGTCTGGACCTTCATGGGACCTGAAAAGGAAGTGGGCGGGGAAATGGGATGGTTTTCGTGGAGACTGAGTGGGAGAAAAGGAGAGGAAGAGTCAGAATAGGGGTGAGGTCTCTTCCTGATAGAGGAAGGAGCCTAGAGAGAAACATGGGCTGTGGGCTGCCCAGAGAGAGGGGACTGTGGACTGGACCTATGCTATGAAAACTAAGCTGCTATCCCAGCACCCTCACCTTCCACCAAGCCCCCAAACCCCAAAGGGCTCAGGACATAGGGCAGGAAGCCTAACAGCTCCTTTATAGGCTCCAAATTGCACAGAGGTGACGATTAGCCTTCAGTGGGTCAAGGTGGAACAAGGATGGAGCCTTGCTTTTTCAGGCTTTGAGGGACTCATTTGTGGAGCCCTTGGAAGTACTTGTTCTTCTAGGAGCATCTAGGCCCTCAGTCTCCTCCAACTCCCATCTTCTGGTCTCCTAAACCAGGTCCACCTCCTACTCCAGTTAGACTATCTCTGACGGTCCCCATTGTCTTATAACTTGCTTCATCCCCCTCACCAAATGCCTTTCACAAAACTGGACTAACTGAGGAGCTTAGGTTGTAGGGTGGGATTTCAGAGGTTACATTTGTTATGAGATTAAGTTGCTTCATACCCTTCAGATGGGCTCATGCACATTTTGACCCATCCTCAAAATCTTGGGACCCCAATCAATATGTGCCTTTGGAATTCTTCCAGAGCTAAGGGTTGAACTTTTTAGCCAAATCTGGATTTAGCAGATGGAGGCTGAGGTCTTTCTAGATCAAAAATAAAACCTCAATTTTGATTCCTATTAAATCTATATATCTTTATTTCATACTTTAACCCTAAACACAGTGTCTCCTAAATGAATTCTAACCCAGTTGTAACTATGATCCCAAATCAATCTCTACTCGGCCTTCAGTTTAACCCTAACTGTATTCCCAAGCATAGCTGTAAATGAAACTAAAGCCTTATTCTTTATAATAACACAAATCCCTGCCATAAACCCTAGCCCTCAGTTCTAGCTATAATTCTAACCCTAACCCAAACCTTAGCTACAATCCCAACCTCAAATCTAACCTCAACTTCATTCATAATGCCAACTAACCCCAAACTTAACCCAAGTTCTAGCTTTCACCCCAACTATAACATTAGCTCAAATCTGGAACCCAATTAAAACCCAACCTAATACTTCAGTTTCATGGAAGCACAATCTTTAGTTCTTTCTTTTCAGTCACCCCCTTCCTTGTCCCACCTGTTGTTCTCCTCTCTGCCCATCACCGACCTTCCATGTTTTTTTCTCTGGCTGTGCCTAGCAACTCAGAGGGTCATCAACTTGTTTTCTTGGAGTGCTCTGGACTGAGAGTCAGGATGTCTGGATACCCCTAACTCAGTTTCCAGCAGCAGCATCACTGTGGCTGAATTCCCATATTTCTCTGGGCCCGTTTCCCCATATGTAAAATGGGGCTAAAGATCCCTGCTCTCCAGAAGGTACAGGACAATCCCATAAACCTCAGAATAAACAAGGAAATAAAGATACTTGTTGTGTACGTCTGGTGGGCCCCAGAGCACCTTGTTACTGTTGGGAGTGCAGGATTGGGGGGCGGGTAGTTTGGTTTGGAACACAGAGATGCATGGACTCTTTGTGCTTCCTGATTCTTATTTTTCCTGGAGGGGTGGGCCCTGGCAGCATCCCTGAGCCCCATAACTCTCCCCAGGACTCTTCTCCCTCTGCCCTTCCTGTGCCCCAGGTCAGGACAGGAGAGAGAGGTGGGGGAGGGTCTTTGACTCCTTTGAGGGAAGCAAGCTGTTGAATAGGGCCACTCATGACCTGACCCCACCACCGTGCGTGGGCAGTACTGGAGCCCAGGGGAGGCCTGGTGCCTGACCTGGTACCCTCCGGACCAACAAGCAAGGGCTGGCCTTCCACAGTTTCCTTCTATCCTCCAGAACCCTCTAGGACCTCTGCTCCGATCTTCCCAGAACTAGGCTGGCTTTGTCACCCAGTGATCAGTCAGTCCAGGTTATGAGGGTCCTTGGCCTCCCTTCCTGTGCATAGAAACAAGGACACCCAGTGATCCCTAAAAAAAGTACACACAGAGGGGCTTGGCTCCTTCAACAGAGACAGATACTCTGCTTGCCTCACACTGTGTATTCCAGCGATCGTGTGCGCACACTCACACAGGCACACCCCTCCCTGTTTCTCCCAGTGTTATTCTCTCAAACGTTCCTTCACACCCACCCTAGCCACGGACCTCACCCCTCTACACAGCCTGGTCCCCCTCCTCTCAGGCCTATCTCAGCTGGGTTCAGTCCTCTGTTAGGACAGGGGCTAAGTCTCCCATAATGCCCCCTGGCTTCCAGGGATCCCCGATACTTGGGACAACTTTGAGTCAGGGATGGGTGGGGGGCACAGTTCCGGGGACAGACAGGGCAAGATCCTGTTCTCACACACACCCTTTCAGCTCAAGAGGCCTGACTCCCCTTGAAGGGCTAGAGGCCTTAGGGGGAGGGTGGGCTGGGCCCAAGTCCTTTTCATCTGCCTGATCCTTCCCTCCAACCCCAGGTCCTGGCAATGGGGGAAGTGTCCCTTTCAGTGGTGCCCCTGCCCACAGAACTCAACCTGGGCATCCTGTGCTCTGTTTTGGGGTTACTTCGGAGGGTCAGGGATACTGGAGGGGTGGGGATTTGGAATGCTGCAGCCTTCACGGCCTGGCCACCCTTCCTCCCCAAGTCTGGCTTCTCCTTCCTCTGTCTCACTTCCCTTGGGGAAGAGGAAACAAATGAGTGGTGAGGGGAGCTCTGTGGATGTTGTAAAATGAGGCAACTGTTGTCACCCCAAGGATGGGGCCAGGAGGAAGTGGAAGTTTAACAGGTGCCTAATTACAACTCCCACTGGCCACCCTGCGCCACTCTTGGGATAGGGAAGAGCTTGGGTGAGTGCTGGCTAATGCCTGGGTAGGCTACCCTGTCACATCGCTAATTAGGGTTCCTGGGGCTCCTCCCCAAGGCAGGGACCAGGCCCTCTCCCTCCCATAGAAATAACTCCAGCTGCTCCTCGGCCAGCCACTCATTGCACCTTCCCGCCACCCCAGGCAGCGTCTGGGCCCTCAGCTCCCCCTCCCTCTACCCATCCCCTCACACCTGCCACCACCATCCCACAGCCACGGACCCAGGGATAGCCAGCCCAGGAGGAGGAAACACCGAGCCTAGAGACATGGGAGTTCGAGGAGCCTTCCACCTTCTGCTCGTGTGCCTGAGCCCAGGTATGGGGCTGGGCAGTGGGCAGGGAAAGGGCAGTGAGGAGCTCAATGAAGGGCCGCGAAGGTGATCTGAGATGCCCCGGCAGGGCACTACACACCCTTGCCTGCTGTCACCCTGGTTTGGATAATTACTCAAGGGGCCTCTCCCCAGGAGAACCTGAGCCTGAAGTTCTGTGCCATGTGTCAATGGGTGGGGAGGCTTTTGAGTGCATCCGCACTGTGTCCCTGAGCCCCAGGGGCTCCCACGTGTGCAGGTGCCCTGTGTGCACAGGCCTGTGAATTGGAGGACAGGGCTTGCCCAGAGTTACCTGTGGGATTGGAGGTGGGGTAGGAGAGGGTCAGGTGAGCAGCAAAGCTAGGTGGGGGCTGAGGAGGAGCCTGGGAAGGATCAAGTCTGCGCACTATTTCCAGTGTGGGCCCTCCCCTTGCCAGGCCAGAGCCAAGGGGCAGGGTTGTTGCTTTCTCGAAAGGGCAAGGGATCTGGGTTAGGGTGAGTCTGAGTGGATGGTTCCATCTTGGCCAGTGAGAGCTCAGGCCTGAGACCCCCACATTAGGCCCCTGGTGCTGTGAGAGGACCAGGGAAACGCCGCTCCAGGATGAGGCCGGAGGCGGGTGGGGGTGGCTACTCCCAGATGCCCCTCACCCCACTGGAGCACTCCTTGAGGGCAGGGCTCAGGTGTGGATATTGTGGCTGCCTGCCCGGGTTGGGGCAAGTCCCAAAAAGGGCCATATTGTGTGGGCCTCGCTGGAAATGGCTCTGAGTCCCTTTGGGGTCTGAACTTTGGGTGAGGAGGCATGGAGGAAGAGTGCCTGGGAAGGGGGAGCATGTTCAGCTTGTGTGTGTGTGTGTGTGTGTGTGTGTGTGTGTGTATGTGTGCGTGCGCGCGCGGGCAAGTGTGTGTGATTTCTGGCAGAATGCCAGCAACACTCCCTCTGTCTGGGAGCCCAGCTGGCAGAGCTGGTGGACAAAGCCTTCTCGGGGAGCTCTGGCTGTGCTGTGGGGGACCTGGGACATCTCCATACTTGTGGCAAGTGTCTATGCGTGCGTGAGAACAGGCTCAGCGCTGCGTATTTATGCACCAATGTCCTCTGGTGGGAGCTGTCTCCTCCCCTCCCTTCCCTTTCTCCCTCTCCTCCAGAGGTAGGCTTAGGAGCTCTGGGAGCAGCTGAACATTTCAGAAAGGATTTATGAGCTGAGAGGACACACTACCAGTGAGGTGACCGCTCACAGAAGGATCTCCTCCCCAGTTCAACCACCAGTGCTTTCTTCTCAGGGAAGACAATTAGTCCCCACTGTCCTCTTTCTCAGGGAGCTCACTGTGACTCTCCCCGGTCCCTCTCTTCTGCCTGAGTCTCTCCACACAGCTCTCTCTTCCACACTGACCTTCTTCCCTCTACCAGCCTCTCTCTTCTATCACGTTCCCTGGAAGTACTTCCTCAGTGCCAGAGCAAGAGGAATCCAGGCAAGACAGCAGGAAGAACTTCCCAAGTAGAGTGAGCAGGTGGAGAAAGGCTGGACGCTTTGGGAGCAAGTTGAGAAATTTCTAAGCAGACAGAAGAGCTGGGGTGAGGCTCCATGGCTGGGGACAACTAAAGAACTCAGCCTGGTGCAGGTGGAGGCTCCTTTCTTTCAGCCCTAGTCCTTCCTCCCCAAGCGTCTCTCTCTGAAGCCTTTCCCTCCAGCCAGAGTGCTCTCTGTTGTGTTGCATCCAGCTGCCCTTCCCTAGGGTGGAGTTGCTGCTCTTCCTCTGGGTTTTGGCTCATCCCGGGCTTGCCCTGTGCCACCCCAAGACCTGGCAGATGGCATCAGGATCCTTATCTCAGGAATGAGCATGTGTTCTCCTGGCCTGGGGCTAGAGGAAGCAGCACTAGGTCCTGTTAGAGCCTGAGCTGCCAGCCTGCCTGCTCTGGGTCACTGTGGAGCCTAGTTGGGTTAGGGCGTGGCTGATGTCCAGCCCGGATCAAGTTCAGTGATCTCTGGTGTAGGGGATGCTGGAGGGGCCCCTGCTGGTCTGTCTAGAGCTAAGCCAAACCTGCTGGGCAGGGCTTCTGCCTGTACTTCCGGTCTTGAATGAAGGCACACGGCACACTATGGAAGTGTGCAGTAGGTGTGTCTTTTGGAGTAACATGCATTTGTGTTTGTGTGCAGATGTGCGTCTGTATGGATCTGACAGTGTGTGTGTGCAGGAAGGTGGGTCTGCACAGGTATGTCTCTGCATTTTTGAAGTCTTGTGTCTATGCATCCACTTGTTTGGCAATGACAGCGTATACTTGTGTGAATGTGGTCCCAGAAGAGAATCAGAGAAGGGCAGAGTAGAATGAGTTGGTGAGACTCGGGGCTGGAACTCCCAGCGACTTGCTGACTGTCCGCAAAGAATGCAGCAGAAGAGCGAGCCGGGCAAGGCGAGGGGGCCTAGAATCGAGGGCTGCAGGAAAAGGGAAGGCAGAGCCCTGCGTGCCAAGGGTGGGGCCACGGGCACACCCCCTTCAGCTCCCTCTGTTTGTCCAACCGGTTGGGTCTAGTGCTTGCCTGGAGCTTTAGGGTAGGCAGGGAGAGGAGTTCAGTCCTGATCTTCAGGATCCTGGCTCTTCACTCGCTGTCCACCAAGGAAGCCCACAGAGGCTGATGCTGTCCGGAAGGGTGTGTGGCAATGCCCAGTGGCTGGGGAGCTCGCTGACTCAGTGGGGCACTGAGCAGTGTGGGGAGGGACCCTGGATGGGAGACAGAATGTGGGGGTGGCTGTGCCTGAGCCACGCGATCACACAAGAGGAAGGACACACAGTCCACATTGCCACATGTATTCACATAAGACCACCACTCACTATCACACAGAAACATGGCCACGCTCCTGGTCACAGCTGCCCACTGTCACACACAGGCAGACACTATCCCTCAGACCATGGACACTGTCATAGGTATAGACCGCCACATGTAGGCATGCAGACCCACACTGTCATACACAGATACGCACACAGTCCCACATGCATGCTATACACAGATGCACCCAGACTTTTGTCCCTCAGGCTGGAAAGGGACTCCAGAGGCCGCTGTGTCCAGCCTCCTGCCTCCAGATATGAACACCTCACTTGGCCCAGGCAGACTCTTCTATCAGGGAGTTTAACAACTCTGTGTGCTCCATATGCCTTCAGACACACACACACACACACGCGCGCGCGTACACTGACACCATCAAGTAAATACATAAGTAGGTACCCTACCTGGTCATGTGCATGCATATCTTTATAGCACACATAAGCAGCCACAACTACTCATAAGCACACAATGTATATATGTACATATTCCTGCATGCATACACACGATCGTGTATACATACATGCACACATAACAGCTATATACACACAAACAGTATTCAGATGTAATCCTACATAATCATAAAATATATACATGTGCGTACAAGCATGCACAGATACTACCAAATGAATATACATAAATACAAAAATATGCTCTCATGCATACCCCAATTCATATGTGCACACGTACTCAGAGTAACCCCTCCTCCCTGTGGAAGCCCCCCTTGAGCTCCAGGTTGCAGCTGACAGGGAATGGTGGAGAGAGAGGCTGGGGCTGACTACCTGAGTCCTGGTTCTGCCCCCTCACCCTACCTGCCCTGCCCTTCCCCCAGCACTGCTGTCTGCTGTGCGGATCAATGGGGATGGCCAGGAGACCCTGTACCTGGCGGAAGGTGATAATGTGAAGCTGGGCTGCCCCTACGTCCTGGACCCTGAGGACTATGGTCCCAATGGGCTGGACATCGAGTGGAAGCAGGTCCACCCAGACCCGTCAAATCAGGACAACGTGGTGAGTGCTAGGCACTGGGTTCCCCTTACCCTACACTGCAGGGTGTTTTCCTGTTGGGCAGCCAACTTCTTGAGAGGAGAAAGGGCAGATAAGGAAACCAAGACTTTGAACTTGCCCCAAGGCCTCACAGGGAGTAGGCAGTAGGGAGGGGAACTCTGCTAGCCAGTCTACCACCTTCTCCCATTCCAAGGGGAAGAGGCAGAATGGTCCCTGTCCTCCACAAGTTCCCAGTCCGACCTTACACTTTCCAGAGTGCTTGATCTCATTGGATCTTAACATATTCTGTAGGTGGTCACTGGGTCAGGCCTTGTCATTCTCATTTTCCAGCTGAGAAATCTGAGTCTCAGAACAGTTCAGTGACTTGCCCAGAGCAGTCAACCCACATGGCCCTCCTTGGCTTTGCCTGCCTCACTGCCTGTTTGCCTCTCTTCTTCCCAGTTCCTTAGGTACCAGGACAAGAGGATCAACCACGGCAGCCTCCCCCATCTGCAGCAGAGGGTGAACTTTGCAGCCTCAGACCCCAGCCAGTATGATGCCTCCATCAACCTCCTAAACCTGCAGGTATCCGACACAGCCACCTATGAGTGCCAGGTGAAGAAGACCACCACGGCCTCTCGGAAAGTCATCATCACTGTTCAAGGTGTGGCCACCCTCCTCTGGGCTCCCCTTCCTCTGACTTCACAGCCAAGGTGACTCGGCCACCCTGAGCCTGGCTCTGCCTCTTGGCTGGGCCCTGGCTCCCATGTACCTGTTTCCCTGCAGCGCGGCCCGCAGTGCCCATGTGCTGGACGGAGGGCCACACGACCAAAGGCAATGATGTGGTGCTGAAGTGCTTTGCCAGTGCCGGCACCCAGCCCTTCTCCTACAAGTGGGCCAAGATCAGTGGGCACATCCGCCCTTACCGCGCCGGGTCCTACCACTTGCAGCACGGCTACCCCTCTGAGCACTCCTACCACGAATCTTTTCACAGCTCCATTGATCGAGGTGAGGGCCCTCCCACCAGGGGCCTAGGGGTGGGGCTGAGTGGAAGGAAGATCAGAGCCTCTGGGAGCCTCTGGGGTTTTCCTGGGTCATCAGTGGCACCAAGTCAAACCTGGAACCTCTGTGGGATACCCTTCCTCTGTCCCAGCAGTTGCTATTGAGGGAAGAGGAGGAGGCAAACATGGGTGTCAGTCAAGAGCAGTATGGTTAATTTGGGCAGAAAACAGTTTGAGATAGAGCTGGGCTCGAGTCCTGGCCAGGCCACTGCCTGAGTGCAAAACTCAGGCAAGTTGCTTAACATTTCCATGCCTTGGTTTCTTCATATATGAAAAGGGAATAACGCTACCTACCTTCCAGGGGCATGTGAAGATTAAATGAGATGAGGTGTGTAAAGCTCCTGGCTCATAGAGAAAAGCAGTATCAATCAAACAAAGAATATCAGAGCTAGAGAGGCTAGCTCTGTCCTCACGCTACAAATCAGGAGACCAAGGCGCAGAGAGGAGACATAATTACCCTAAGGTCACCGAGTGAATTACTGGTGTCTCTGTCCTGTTGCTGGGAGAGGGGCCCCTCCTTCTTGCCTCTCTGCCTCAGCAGGGGGAGGTGACTGACCTGGAGAGAGAAGTGGACGTGTGTGTGTGTGTGTGTGTGTGTGTGTGTGTGTGTGTGTGTGTGCGCGCGCGCCTTCAGGAGCATAAACCTTCCCTTCCTCCAGAGGGGGTGTCCCACGCCCCACCCACAGGAGCCCAGGCTGGGGTGGGAGCTCTCGGGAGACCATGCCCCCCCGCCTCACTAGAACCTCGGATCTCCTTTCGTCTCAGATCTGGGCAACGGGGACCTGGTGCTGCAGGACCTCTCCCGCAAGGATGACGGGCTGTATCAGTGCACAGTGGCCAACTTTGTGGGCTACAGTGTGTGCGTGGTGGAGGTGAAGGTCTCATGTAAGTACAGCGCCCCCTGGGGGAGGGTCGTGGCCGGGAGGCTCGGATTGGAGGCCCCGGGGCTATATTTTGGAGCCTTAGGTGGCTCTGCCTTCCTAATGCCATCAGCCCCCAGGTGGGAAGCCCTGGGAGGAACAAGCAGACTAGGCGGTTAATTTGCATCTCCCCGGATCTTCCTCATTGACTGTCTCAGGGCCCCGAGACGCCCTGGGCCCTCAGCCTCTTTCCGCAGACCCCTTGCCCTGGTGCCTCCTGCAGAAAAGCCTGACAGCCTTCACTTCTTTCCACAGACTCCTGGCGCACAGGCGTGATCATCGGCGCAGTGCTGGGCTCTCTGCTCATACTGGGCTGCCTGTTGCTGGGCATCTGGGGGCTCGTCTGCTGCTGCTGCAGGCGCTCCAGGGCTGGCGGCCCCTGCGGTGTCTTCGGCTACCGCAACTGCGGCGGGGTCAGCGGAGGGGCCTGCGACTTGGCTTGTGAGATCAGGTAAAACCTGATACACGCTGCATGCTGCTGTGCGGCCGGGGACCGGCGCCCTGCCCGTCCCCACCCCTGCCTGCCACCGGCCGGCTGGGACCCCCACCCCAACCCTGCCCGCCATCGCCACGGAGTGCTGGGACCGCAGCATGTCGACCTGCCACTCATCGCGTGGCTTTTCTGTCTCCCCCTCCCCACCCCAAGTCTTCACCTTGCTCCACTGCCCTCCACTTCCCTCCTGTCTCCACACCTCTGTCTTGTTTAGACTGTAAGCTCCTAGCGGGCAGGGCCTATGTTGTTTTTTTTTTCCCACCTTTTCCCTGTACTGCGAGAACTCTGGACATGCTTATTTAAGAAGAGTTAATTATAAGAAGAGTACTAGTAACTTATATTAGAAAAAACTAGAACTAAAAATAGAACAAGGCTAGCAGCGCTAATAACTGCAGTGCCCTGGGCCTGGAGGACAAGATGGAGAAGCTGGAGGGGCAGGAGGTGAGAAGACAGAGAGGGAGAAAGGGCGAGGTCTGGGTTAGTTAAAGAAAGAAAGATAGGGAATGTAGCTCCTTCCGGATCTCTGAAAACATCGGAAAGGGACTGGAGGGCACCTGGATGGGGCTGCCTGCCATGGGCGGTCCGGACAGGTGTGGACAAGCCCTGTCTGGAGGCGTGGGGAAGGTGGTCCCTGAGACCATTGCGGGGTCGCCGGCCCAGGAAGGGGCAGAGAGGAGAGCAGGTCGAGACCTAGGGAGAGAGGCGAAGGACAGGTGGAGGGAGGCGCGGGAGGCGAAAGATTGCCAAGAGCCCCCTGCTCTGCCCAGGCTGTGCCCACGCCGCGCCGCGGAGGAGCCCGCTCACCCGCCCGCCTGTTGTTTCCACAGAGACGACGCCGTGGCGCCCGGGTGCAAGGCTAGCGGGCGCGACAGCCAAGTCACCCACTTCCTGGGGTATTCGAAGCAGAAAGTCAGCAGCTCCCTGCGCCGCAAGTATGCGCCTCCGCCCTGTGACTGCCCCGAGGACTTGGCCCTGGCGCCCTGCACCTCTGTCGCTGCTGCCTCCCGCGAAGCGGGCCCCTCCCCGGTCTACGTCAAGGTCAAGAGCGCAGAACCGGCCGAAAGCACTCAGGGGCCGCTGCCTTCTCGCAAGGACGGCCTGGTGGTGTGAGCGCGCGCGCCGCGCCGGGCTGCGCCCCGGCGGGGAGGAGGGTGCGGGGGCTCTCTGCCCGCAGCTGGGGACAAGCTCGGCCGGCTCCGACCTCGCCCGCCCCAGGCCGCCTGGCGGCTGGGGACTGAAGGCATTTCACTCGGGAAGTGCGGGGAGGCAGAGCCTCCTCCCCGAAAGTGGGAGGGGGCGAGGGAGAGCAGAGAAAGACCATCCAGAGCCCTCCCTGCACCCCCGGGGCCCCGAGGCTCCGGGGCAGGGAGGGAGAAGGAAGCAGAGACAGTGTCCGAGAGAGGCTGGGGCCAGAGGCCGGGAGTCCACAGCCAAAGCAGCGGGCCCCTGGGGCCAGGTGGGATGGGAGTCTGGGCTGAATTGTCTGTTCGTGAGATCTGAGCTCCCAGGCAGCAGTATTAGCACAATAAATAAACTGTATAACTTGAGACCGAGGTGGCTGTGGTTCTGAGGAGGGTTGGCATGGGGTGGGGGTGGGAGGGGCTCCCTCAGGGATGGGAGAGATTGCTCCCTGTTGCCCACCTCATCTCTGCACCATCTCCTCGTTTCTCCTTAGATCCGAAGGTATCTGGGTTGGAAGGGACCATCTAATCCTCTTCACCATACAGATAGGGAAACTGAGACTCCTCAGGCTGGACTTTAAATCCAGAAACCTGCTTTTCTCTTTCATTCCGGAAGATCAGAATAGGGGAAACGGGGCTGGCAGGGATGACCTCTGAATATTCCCTGACCACGCTCAGCATGGTCCTTTCCTTATGGATCCAATCCTGACTTCTGTATCTCACCCAGATGCTTGCCTTCCTTCTCAGCAGCTAGGAAGGGTTGCAGGCGTACTCTCTGGGGTGCAAAGACTTTCAGGGTCGTCTAACCCAACATCTTTTTGTTGGGAAGGGGATTGCCATTTATTGGGTACCTACGGAATGCCAGGTACTTGCAGATATTTTGTTTTATTTAATTCCTACTTTCATCCTGTGAGGTTGTGCATTATCCCATTATACAGATAAACTGAGGCTCAAAGGGATTAGGTATTGTGATCAAGGTGACAAAGGTAGTAATTCAGGATTTGATCCAGGCTTGTTTGACTCCAGGAACATGAGACTATTTCTCTATTTGAATTTCTTCTACAACATTCCTGACAAAGAATCTTCCAGTCTCTTCTTGAGTACCTGCAGTGACTGCTCACTACCTCCCAAAGCAGTCCATTCCGCCTCTGACTGTCAGAGACATATTTCTTCTATGGAACCCAGTTTTTGCCTCCATATGGCTTTTATCCCTTAGTCCAAGTTCTACTCCCAGGGAGCCCACAAGCAGCACATCCCCAAGTCAGCCCTCTCTAGTGGACCAGGTCCATACAGGACGGCAGCCACAGGCACACAACTGGGAATGGTCCTGGTCTAGGGGCCGGGAGCCTTCTGAAGAGCCTAGTACTTCAAGTTCTCTCAGCTCTACTTGCCTCTGCCCAGAAACCTGCCTGTTGAGAGCCCAGGCTCTTCCTTCTCTCCTGGTCTCTTTTCTCTTGGAGGAGAAGCTGATTGTGCTTGGGAAGAGAAAGGAGAAATGATGGTGGGACAGAGGGAGCCAGGGACAACTACCCTGGGGATGAGGAGATGGAGACCTCCTTGGGGATGGGTGAGGGGATTCAACTGTGAGGGGAGCTGAGAACTCCAGGAACATCCATGTCATCATTTATTTGGTCACATTTATGAGCACCAATAAGGTGACTTAGGGGGTCACTGGGTGGCACAGACGATTAAGCTCTTGACTACTAACTGAAAGGCTGGTGCTTCGAACCTACCCAGAGGTGCCTTGGAAGAAAGACCTGGTGATCTGTTTCTGAAAAATCACTGCCTTGAAAACCCTGTGGAGCACAGTTCTACTCTGATACACATGAGGTCACCATGAATTGGAATTGACAGGAACTGTGTAGGTGTGTATGTTTAATAATGTGACTTGTTCCCAGAGCGTTAGATCTTCAGCAGGGCCCTGAGCCTGGCACACTTTTGCCCTCAGGCAGGAGACTGAATAGGATGACTTTGGGAGGGCCCTCTCTGACGAGCCTCCAGCTCTGCCTCCTGCCAGGTGGTGAGGAGCCAGGCAGCTAACTGGTGTACAGGTTGCATTGAGTGACACCGTCTTCCCCATTCCAGGAGCCAGGGAGCCATGCTCAGACCTACCCTTCACTTGAGGGGTGAGGACAGTGAGGCTCCGGAAAAGAAAAGCTCATTTAAAAAGCAGCAAGAGTGACTTCAGAGAGACTCTGGAGACGACTTCCTGTTAGGGTGATTCAACAAGGAAGCCAGGGAAGTTCCGAAATCCAAGGCTGGGATCAGTCATGGTCAGGGCACTTAGGTGACGAAGGAAGGAAGTTTCTGCTCCAACGTTGTGCTTCCGGGACGCTTTGATCTTTTTTGTTCATTACTCCAGCATGAAACCTTGTCCAATGTTGAAGGAGGACTCTTGGGGTAATAAATGTTTGACAGTTGGCTTTCAATGGGAAGAGAGGGGCAAGCCCTGATGGGCAGCATTGATCGATTTCCCTGATGTAAATACTCCCACCACGGCCAATTTCAGGCTACCAATGGGACGCCACTGGTGTGGAGCAGAAAGAAGTGCACAGTACCACACTTCTGTATAATATTTTCTCAATACAGAGCCACTAGAAGTAAATAACCTCCATCCAGAAATTAGATAATAAATAGAAAATGGTAGTTAAATAATTAGGAAGGGATGAGTTTTGAGTATTTATCACTTTTGTTTTTAATTTAATTTACTGAATTGTGAATTTATGTCATTTAATTTTTATTCATGGCTGTACGTAACAACCAGCTTGCAAAATTCAGGGGACCGTGTCACAGGCCTACAGGGCTGCCCCAAAAGAAGACATCACAAGCGCAGTCCCATTTTTCTGTTTTTCCACAGAGACACAGACATCACATTCAGTTGTCTGCATTCCACTTCCTTTTGCATCTTTCGCCAGCCTTGCCAAAGCTGACTTCTAGTTCCTCTGGTCACTGAAAAAGCAAATATAATCATTTCTATCTCCTTGGCGCCCAATCACTTTTTTTTTTGTAGTCATGAAACGTAACTTGACACCCACAGGACTTCCCCGCATCTGCCTGGCTACCCTGGGAAATCCCTTCAAGAGACACTGAGTTCCACGGACTCAGCTCCTTCTCTGAGCTTCTTCCTTAAGCTTTAGGACTCATCTCATAGTTATTGGCTGTTAAGCCCCAAATATTCAAAACCAGGAGTGGCTTTGAATCACAATGAATTTTCTCCACGGATTCTGATTAGATTAATTCTTAGCGTGCATGCTGCCCGATTACATTCAGTTGTTTCAGGCCCAGTCAGACTTTGGTGACTCTGGGAGGGATTAATTTTGTTTGGCTCCCTGGTAACAGGGAGTTTTGGGAACTGCCCAATCAGTGTCCTTTCGGAGTATGAAACTGCTGGACTCCTGTGGGCTTAGGCTGTGGCCTGCCTTTAGACAGAGGACGGCACCAGAACTTCAACCCTGTCCCCTGAAGCTTCCCAGGAAGTAGAACCTCCTCACAGCTGTTCCCTGGTGGGAGTCTGGGAACCCCTGCTGTGGAGTTTACGCTCTTCATCCATGCAGAGCCCCCCAAAAACCAATCCCCCCAAAAGCAAACCAGTTCAACTTGTAGTGACCCCATTTGTTGCAGTGTAGAACTGCACTCCGTAGTTTGATGTTTCAATATGTGTTGTTTGTAAACTTTCATTTATTCTTGACCATACTTTAACATTTTGATTTTATGTCTGTTTATTTTGGTGTATTTATAACAGAGTGGGTTATTAGGGAAATTAGTACAGGTTTGCACATACATTTGGAAAAACAAACTGAGGAATCTTTAGTTTTATGTTTAGCCATTTATTTTGTTGTAGGAGGCCCGTAGGGTTCTCAAGGCTGTGACCTTTTGGAAGCAGATCACCAGCTCTGTCTTCCAAGGTGACTCCGGGTGGGTTCGAACTGCCAACCTTTTGGTTAATAGCCGAGTACTTAGCAGTTGAAACCACTTAGGGACATCTCTTACTCATCCAGCACATCCTGAGTAATCATTTTATTTATTCCTGATATATGGAAGCAAAACCGACTATTCAATTCTTCAGGGTTAGGTTCTGAGGAGTGTGTTGGGGGAAAAAGTGTGGGACATGAGACCATGCAGCAAGGTGGGGATAGTGGCTGCTTTGGGAAATCTAGGGGAGCTGGGAAGTGGTCACTGTGCCTGCAGGTGGCAAATGGACAAGGCGGCCCTCAGTCACCTCTCTGTGCCCATGGCCCCCAGCAGCCCTCTTGGGTGCAACAGGCAAGATGGAACACTCAGCACTAGAAGGAGCCTGAAGCCCTTGACGAAGGCTTCAAGCAGACGAGGACGGGGTGAAACTGCTGAGCTCATTTTTATAGAGGCTGGGTTTCAGGTGATTGGGGACCCCTGTATAGGGTGTCCTGAGGGAGGAACAGAGGGAAGGAGGGAGGAATAAAGCTTGTAAGAAATGTTTGTGAGCATGTTCACACACACGCAAAGGAAAAAGACCTCAGTCTGGGAGTCAGACAGACCAGGGTTCCTAGTTATTTAATAAGCTCCTGAAGCCTCAGTTTCTTCATCTGTAAAGTGGGAATAGTAACCAGGCTTTTTTGTATAAAGTGTCTATCATAGAGCCTGGTACATAGTAGGAAGCCAGCAAATGGTGGATCCCCAATGCCCCACTTCCCTAGTAAGTAATTTCATCTTCCACAAGAGGGCAGGCCTGGAGGCACTGATCCAACTACAGAGGTAGGGGTCATAGTGTCTGCAGTGAGAGGTCTGCAGAGAAGGGGATGGAGGAGAACGATTGATTGAACTTGGGGGAAGAGGCAAGGAGTCCAGGAACCAGCAGGTAGAGAAGGGAAGAGGAGAGCCAGGACTTGCCTCTGAGTCCTGGAATCCACCTGCCGTGGTTAATATTGAAAACAATCCTCATTAGTAATAGTGATACTAATAACAGGGAGCACCTGAAACACAAGCTCAGCAGGGTCTCAGAGTCACGTCAGAGGACAAGCTGCCAGAATCCTTGGCCACCTCCCTGGACCAGGGCGCGCCCTCCTGGGCTCTTCTTCATCTACCTGCTCTCAACTATTGCCAATCAGGCCACGTTGTCTGTCCTCTGGGCCCAGTGCCCACTGTGGCACCCTCTGTAGCACTGGCTTTGACAGCCCTTCCAGGTGGACGGTCCCTCCTGGAGGGCTTCCACACTGCCCCCAGCTCTCCCAAAGCTGAGGAGAG